ATGTTGTTACTTACCAAATACAATCTGATTAAATTTTTCGGGTTTTCGTCAGTTCTTCTGAACACCTATTCTTCTGCGTGCTCTGCAGAAGACTGGGTGAGTCGGTTGTTTATATTGTGTAAAACTTGTTACGTTGCCATTGCCTACATGTTAAGCGTGTCAACGTACTACTGTGGTTCCCCCTACTTTCTTCCACGAAATAAAACTCTCTCTCTCTCCTCCGGATCGGGATTTAGGTCGTTTTTACGACCTGGGAGGATCAGGTTCAGGTAGACCTCTTCCTCCCTTCTGTACAGTTGTTATAGTTTTTCTTTGATTCAGGAAAAAATATAACAGCCCCCAAAACGAAGACGATATATTCACAATAATCACAAAAACAGCAGCACAAGAACTACCACCATTATTACCACACTTACTACTTCTACTATAGACCCAAAGTACACTAACACCCAAGAATAGGGCAACATACACAACTTGATAACATAAAACGGACATGGCCCTGAAAAGGAAAGTACTAACAGAAATCATCAACCCCATATCAAACCAGCCAACCAAAAAATTGGATTATTTTGAATATGTTTTTGATTGTCTCTACTACTTTGTTTATGAATTCCTGTATTTTAGGAGGTGTAGCTATAGGTGTCTTCATTTGTTCTGTTGTTTCTTTAGTTTGTGTGTTGATTTTCTCTTCTTGTGCTTGTGTAGTTGTTTCCGTTCGGGTGTGAGTTTTTAATGCTTGTGCGAATGTCTGTCTAAATCTCTAAAAAATTCGAGCCGCCAAGTCAAATCTAGACACTTTCTGGCGTCACACATCATTATTACGTCATCCCAAACTCCCTCTATCAAGCAGCACAAAACGTTTAAACTGAAATACGAAAATATTGTTCACAACAATATCATTGACGCCAATAAAGTACAAGATTGACTAAATGATAATTATAAAATACGTTTAAACTAAAATACTGAACATAATGTATAACAATGACTATAAGCGTGTCCTAATCACTTTTCTCGTGAGTTACTTAGTTTTATAATTTGTTTAATTTGACAATTTAATAAATTCGAAAACGAATACATATAAAACAAAGAATTTTATCAAATAATGCCATTTTCTGATACGACGCTTGTTTGTTTGTAATCAAGCACAAAGCTACACAATGGGCTGTCTGTGCTCTGCCCACCACGGGTATCGAAATCCGGATTCTAGCGTTGTAAGTCCGCAGACACAGCAGATAGCCCAACGTGATTTTGCAAACAAATATACTTAACAAATTCAACAGACTGCTACAATTGAAGTCTTGGAAAACGTACAGTGCGTATAAACATTATGAACTGAAATTGGAATTTTCAACTTCAACGGCGCATTATGCGCACGCGAGTCAAATCGTAGACCCCTAGGATTTAGATATAATTATCTCTAGTAATGAAATATTGACTGGCGGAAAAAAGAGTCAGCTAGTAGCACCCATTGCCACAAGGATTTTGTTGGGCTATTTGATTCTAACGATGAGTTTGACGGCCACTTTTATAACGTGCCAACGGCTTAAAGTATGGATTGTGTTCAACAGCATCAAGTATCGAACCCTAGCCCAACATGCTAACCACTAGGCTACGTCCCTGCAAACAATATAAAGTAACCTTACTTGCAGCTGTAAACATTTCCACCCACATGTTAGAAGTAAATGAGAACATTGCCTAATTCCAATAAATCGTGGGAACTAGCAACGAATTCTGATTTAAGTTTTAAAGGTAGCAAGCAGGTATTGTTGCTTTTTGCTAATTTATATTAGGCTTGTGTGCTAGAAGTTTACAAATATCTTATCGGCGTATTTTCAGTCGTTTTTCTTATTACTGTCTAGCTTATAGACTTCATAACATTGTAGAGTCTGTTTGTTTTAGAGTAAAGCCACATTGGGCTCTCTGCTGTGTCCATCGCGGGAATCGAACACCGAGTTTTAGTGTTGTAAATCTGTAGGCTTAACGCTGTTCCATCGGATACTCATAACATTGCACTGGAAGCTATGTGCATTCTGAATTAATTTGAAATCTTTAGTTAATTATTTTGGTCTCCCTTTAGTTAATTATTTTGGTCTCCCGTTTACAAATATAGTCCTCCATAAGCAGAGGTGTAGTTAGAAATCTATAAAGGGGGGTTACATGTTTTGAAGTTAAAAGGAAAGAACTGGCGAATTCACACTGGGAGGTCTGAGGGGCATGTCCCCTCGGACATTTTAAAACATTTTCATTCAGGGAATGCGATCGCACCCGCCGCATCCCCCTTTCTAACACGCATGTATACGTGCTGTGCAGTTTTTTTTTTAATGAAATCCAAATAACACATATACATTAAAATCATAAATAACATTCAACTTTAAACTGGTACACAATTAAAAACATTTTATTTAGGCCTATCTGAGGACGACGTTGTAACGTCGAAACGTGTAGAGTCGTCAACTTTTGAAGGCCATAGATAGGCCTAAATAAAATGTTTTTAATTG